GCCGCCGCCGAGCCCGGCAAAGGAGGGGGAAAAGGAACGGCCTCTCCGCTGCCGCCTCCGCCTCGGAGCCGGGCGGGGGGGAGGACCGGCCTCGCCGCCACCTCCTCGGTGAGATCGAGCGGGGGGGGGGATGGAGGAGACGGAGCTCTTCTCCCCCCCGCGAGTATCGCGGGTCCCCGTCTTGTTGCTTTATAATTGTTGGTTGTAAGAGCAGTTCCTTGTGTTGTCTGAAATATGTTGTCTACTCATTGGCTCAGCTGTTGAAGCTTTATAGCATATTTTTCTCAATGGCTAAAAAACCCTCCCTTTTGAGTTTCCCATAGCCAGAAGCTGTGCCTCAGCTGACTCGATCTCAGTTCACGCAACAGGCCCCTGTGTGATTAGCTAATGCCTGCCAGCCACAGGTCCCTTTGTCTTGGCCACAAAGAAGGGAACAGGTAGCAGAGGGGGGTGGGTAGGTCTGGAGGGGACTACATTAATGGTGCTTCTGAAGTAGATGAATGGAGAATACATGAGCAAGTGAAATGGATGCAAAGAAGTTGCTGTAAAGAAAAGCACAAACCTATATCTGTAAACTTATGCGAGTCTCTACTTGCCCACATGTACTTTCATTAAAATAGCTATTCTGTGTAATTGTGTATTTTTGAAATATCCCTAATAAAATAATAAAATAACAGAATGATGGCATAAAGCACAGTGTTTGAGTTGCCTTGGGATGGGTGCTGAATAAGGTAAGAAAAGATAGTTGCAGTTAGTTGCATTTTAACATGCCGAAGCAAGGTTGCAACCAATTGCAAAGCTGTGTTTGGATTTTTGTGATGGTATTGCAGGTGCAAGCGAAGCCTCAGGCACCTCAGCAGCCAGTGAAACCACAGTTCCCAGTGGTGCAGCAGGGAGTGGTCACAACAGTGCAGCAGCCGCCAGTGCAGAACTACATCCAACAGCAGCAGCAGCTACTGACCCAGCAGGCCACCGTACAGCAGAAGACAGCTGTAGCAGCAGCCGTACAGCAGAAGCAACCAACTCAGATCCTGCCACAGGCTCAACAAGCTGTGACACAGCCAGCCTCTACACAGGATCAGCCGGTAAGGATCATCAAGCTGCTTGGTAATACTGTGCCTTTCATGCGTTGACCCTGATCAGGAACCAGATTTTCTGGAAGGCCATTCCTTGAAAAACAGTGTGTAGTTTTGATCTAGTGCCTTCATCCACGTCCTGTTAAGTTGCCAGTGAATTCTCCTACCATAGCCGCTGCTTCCTTCTAATCTAGGGGAGGTAATGGTGGGGGGGGGGTTGCAAGGCTCCTGGGGCTGGATTTAGCACTGCTGAATTTAGCTGTGGACCTCTGCTTTTATCATGTTGGTGAACTGGATGCTTTGAGGGTGGACTTTGGAATTGAATCATACTGGCTCCTGAAAAACTATTGGCTGACAGCCTTTTGGGGGTGGGTGGAACAGCAGTTGTTCTAAGCTTGAGCCAATAACTGATGCTGGCTTGGAAAACCAGCATGGGTAGAGTAGTGGGTCTGGACCAGAGAGCCTACATTCCCACTCTGTGCTAGAGAACAGAGTTGGTATAACTCTCTACCCCCAGTTACCTGCAGTATGCATCACAGTGCTCTTGACAAGTCACTGTCTCTTAATCCTGTTGGGAAGGTAGATTGGAGTAGTCCTGCCATGTGTGTTGCTCCGAGCTCTTCTTAGTGTGCATACCACTAAAGCCAGAACTTCCCTGAGCTCCTTGGAGGAAGGGCTAAATGCAAATATGAATGGGAAGGCATCTGCTAAGCACGGCCTCTTTTTAAGATGGTTACACTGGCAGGGCCAATTCATAGTCTGCAGCAAGCAACCCAGATCGTGACCAGGGTGTTCTTGTATCATTTGTTCTGTGTTCAGGGGGGGGAAAGTATATTTAGGCTTCGTGAGTGTCCTCAACTTGCCTTAGCTAGATCTGCCTACATGCCTTTGCACTGAACCTTTGCAGAAACACTGCATGTCTGGTACAAGGATTGGGTTTAGTAGCCAGTTTGGTGTAGTGGTTGAGTGCGCGGACTCTAATCTGGGAGAGCCGGGTTTTATTTCCCACTCCTCCACTTGCACCTGGCTGGATGACCTTGGACAAGCCGTAGTTCTGATAAGAGCTGTTCTTTAAAAAGAGCCATTTCTGTCAAGAGCTCTCTCAGCCCCACCTACCTCACAGGGTGTCTGTTGTGTCTGTAAGCCACTTTGAGACACCTTTGGGTAGTGAAGGGTGGGGTATAAATCCAATCTCTTCTCTCTCTTCTCTTCTACTGCAAGGGAGAGTCTTGTAAATGTCACCAAAAGATAGAAACGTTAATGTATTTCTTATTAACAGGGCTAACACAGCAAAACCGAGTGCTTTTAGTTTTATCTGCAAGCCCCTAGAAACACAGCTCTCAGTTTTAAGGGGCTTGTTGGAAGAAGACTGGAGAGCTTTAGATTAATTTGTGAAAATATCCTGTCCTTGTTTGTTGACTCCAAAACCCTCCTGCTGGGTGGATTGTAGTGTACTATATCAGGTTTGTTACCAGCTAAGGAAGAAATTTCTAGTCCTGGGAATGAAACAGGGATTCCGTCAGCCATTGTTGCATGAGTCTTGGTATCAGAATTACTTTGGCTTTTATGGTTCTTTGGATCCTGGGCCTCTGGTTCCTGTTCTCCAGAATGCAGGATCTGGACAAGCAGATTAGAGCAAAATTTGAAGGTTGAATTCTCGTTCAAGCAGACTTGCTTTCATTTCCTTTTTTTTTTTTAGGTGAATTTTGCTACTATAATGTATGCATTCCTCCCAAACAAGGGCTCTTTACTTAAGGAGAAGCAGGGTTTTCCCTTCCCCAAGTGAAACAGCTGCCTACAGTATAAAAGGGATGGAAATTTGCCAAGGATCCCCCATTACCATCACTGCCCATAGCCGCAAATGAAATTTCACATCCGTCTCCCCCACACAAACATGCACTTTATTACTATTCAAGTGTAATCATTCCTCTTTGTTTCCTTTTAACTGAAATGCAGCTTTTTAAGCTTTTTTTTAAAAAAGAAGGCACCCAACAGAAGATGAAATTAAATGTATTCTAGTTGAGACTGTACTTGCATCCAGCTCTCTTTGCCGCACAGTTTCTCTTTTAATGCCAAAAAGCTTTGTGTATCAGTCGCCATCTGGTTTCAAAAACAGATCTGGAGGAGAGAGTTGCTCGAAGGAGGAGAAAATAAGAGAGCCTCCCTGTCCCCCACCATCTCCTTTACCATCTCAAGGAGGCAAATTTAAATCAGGAGCTTACTTTTGTTTATCTCTGTTAATGCTCACCACCTCCTCCTGCGTTATATGTCTGCCAGTGCTTGCAGTATTCTTGTGCTGCTTGAAGTACAGGGCTAGAAATACACACACACAGGTTTAAGAGACGTTGTCAGTGGCTTATAATAATTTGAACACACAGCTCAGTTTCTATCCAGAGCTTCTGGAGTACGTCTGTCACACCCATTCTGTAGGCACTCCATTCATTATCATTTGTTACCAGTCAGTTGCTGGATTCAGTCCAATGTATTGGCTATCACCTTCAAAGCCTTTGATGGCCTTGAACTCACACACCTGCAAGAGGGCCTCTTCTCTGCTTTGTCAGGGTAGCTTCTCCCATCTGAGCAAAGCCTTCTGAAATTGCTGCCCTATAAATGTGTACGATCAGCCATTTGCCTGTTCAAGGGCACTCTCTGTGGTGGCGACAACGGCTTGCCGGAGGCAGTCGGGAAGGTGCCCACACTTCTGTTGTTCCATGGAATGTACAAAACAGAAATGTTCAGGGGGGCATTTTTGATAAAAGGAAAAGAACTGCAGTATAGTGGGACAGCATAGGGTGCCTTTTGAAGTGAATAGGCTGTTTGTTGCATGTATCGGCTTTCTTTGACTGCACTCTCTTATTTATATTTTCATAATCCACTTTCTATGTTGTTTATGGTATGTCATGCCTTAGACAGTCTTCTGTTTGCATTGTTTTCTGATTCTGTAATCCTAGTCCTATTGCATTGTTTGTTGGATGTTTTATGCTGTTTGCATTGTTTTCTGTAATCTGCCTTGAATCTCAGTGATAGATACTGGCTAGAAATGAAGTAAATAAATAAAAATTAGATCAGGGGGTTCAACTCCCTACCTGGCTGTCAGGCTCACTCTGACTATGGGCCAGTTGCCATCTTTCAGCCTAGTGTACCTCATAGTTACTGCCAGGGGGGAAACCCATGTCACTCACCCTGAATGCCTTAGAGGAAAGGTGGTGCTACTGGTTGCTACCAAACAAGGGTACCAACCCTTAGCACTCCCATAGCACTGTCCAGTCATGTTTGCAGTCATGTTTGCATCTTAGTGTTATTATTGAGGGGCAGTGTTGTGTAGCACCTAGAGCATAGGATCAGGGCCTAGCAGACTTAGGCTCAAATTCTTGGCCATAGCTGTGAAGCTCACTGAGTGATAGGGGTGTGTGTTTAGTTTATTCGAACCGGGGGAAATCCTGGAAAATACTTCACTGGTATTTTTTTCACCTGGATATCTGCTGGGTATTTATCTGGCTATCCGATACAGCCGAGCCCGAACAATCCTCAAAATATCCCAAGAATATTTGGGATTTTTCGGGGCTGCTGGACAGCTGGCATTAAAGGGCATTTAAAGGGACTGCAGTCTGTTTAAACACTTTCTGGGTGAAGCTATGGCTTGGAGAAGGCATTTAAAGGGACCACAAGCCCTTTAAATGTCTTTTGAGTTCAGGCATGGCTTGCAAAAGGCATTTAAAGGGACTGCATTCTCTTTCCCCACTCTATTGGAAACAATGGAGGATGGGGGCACCTTCTTCTGGGGCCCATAGCACTGGACCACCTGGTCCAATCTTTTTAAATCTTTTTGAAACTTGGGGCTTTTTTGAGGCAAGGCACCAGCAGATATGCTGCAAATTTGATGCCTCTACCTCAAAAAACAGAGCCCCAGATACCCCTGGGTCAATTCTCCATTATACCCTATGAGGACCATTGACTGTAATAGGGTATAATGGAGCTGAAAAAAATCAGCAATACTGAAGATTTACCAAATCCAAATACCATACTGGTATTTACCAAAATTCGGGGATACCATACTGGTATTGGAATTTGGGAATACCGGGAAATACTGATATTTTTCGGTTCTAGTATACCCAAACCCAAAAAATACCGTGTGTTTTCTTTTTTGCACACCCTTACTGAGTGAACTTGGGCCAGTCACTCTCTTGTTTAATCCACCTCACAGGGTTGTTGTGAGATAAAAGCAGGAGAGAGGGTAATAGAATATAAGAGGATAGTGATATCCTTGTCCTTTGAACAGCCCTGTCGAGGAAGGCACTATTCTCATCTTGCAGCTTCATTTCTGTCAGTGATGCTTGCAGCTGCTGCTTGATCATTTTCAAGCACTTTCCCCTTCAACTGAAGGACTGTTGATTCCACTTTACATTTTCCACGTCTGAAACAAGAGAAGCAAAGGATAAGTTGTGAGTTAACCTGCAAGCCTGCCCTCTTCCTCTTCTTTGGGCATCTGAAGCCAAGTACACAGGGTTGGGAAGTCGCTGCTTAAAAATATACCCAGTATATAAAAATATCATGGTTGTGTGATCTCCTACAAGACTGTGGTGGCGAGGACTTGAGCAGTAGGCTGCCGCTGCAAGCAGCGGCTGCAGGTGATAGTAATGGATCTTGGCATGCCAGAAAGTCAGCCGGGCATCATCGTTATGGGCCCATGTGGTTTGGTCCTCTTCCCTCCTCTGTGCTAGTTTGCGGTGTCTCTGATGGTTTGTCTGCCTTTGACCAACGCTCAAGCTGCTGCTCTTTTTGGCCTGAAGAGGCTCAGGGTGTTGAGGGAATCTTGCCATTACAGTAGACCAAGTCAACTTGCAATGTGTGGCCTGTATACAAATCAAGGTAACTGTCAGAGGTCTAAATATGTGGCTCTTGTGATCACTTCTTTGGGGGGGGGGTGACTCTGTAATGATGAATTTTCTTGGGTTAGGAGTAGAAATACACCAAATGTGAAGTCATGTTTTTAGCATATAATAAGGCTACAGGGAAACCATCTACGGAGGAAATAATTTCCCTGGATTGCTGTCCTTCTGCACATATTATATAAATTTAGAGATGATTTTTCCATGTATTACCTTCCTATCTCACCATTCCTCCAAGTAGTTCAGGATGTCATAGCATGTGTGGTTCCTCCTCCTCCTCCATTTTATTCTCACAACAATCCTGTGAGGTAGCTAAGATAGAATGTGGCTGTTCCAAGGTCACCTAATGAGCTTCGTACTGAGTAGGGCTTGAATCTGGATTTACCCAGTCCTGGCCTGATGTTCTAGCCACTACAGCACACATCCTCTCAAAGGGCTGGGTCCAGGGCAACAGGGTCCCTTCTTCCCCAGGAGCAGCTTTTTAGGGGCATTTCAGGCTGCTGTAGGTGGGGAAAGCTGAGAAAGATGCCCTTTTTGCCCATGGAGATGCAGCGCTAGATCCAACCCAGAGTCTGGCACTGGTACTCAGTGTGGCAGCTTTAGAAGTTCCACAACCACTTAACATTACAGGCAGATTTTCTTTTCTTCCCCAAAGCAAGCACCTCCGCGTCAACAAAAGCCCCCGGCTACCCCTCCCTCGGCAGTTCAAGGGCAGAAGGTGGGCTCCCTCACGCCCCCTTCCTCCCCCAAGACTCAGCGAGCTGGACACAGGAGGATTCTGAGTGACGTGACACACAGCGCTGTCTTTGGAGTCCCGGCAAGCAAATCGACTCAGCTTCTCCAGGCTGCGGCAGCTGAGGCCAGCCTCAATAAATCCAAGTATGTGGAGAGTTCCCCTCAAAGTCCATTCTCCCTTCCTGGAAGTCACCTTGAGAATAATTCATAAATGACTGTTTAATGATTAAATGATTTTTAATGGTTATTTAATGTTGTTTTATACTCACTTGCTTACAGTTATTTAGTTTGGTTTTTATATCCTGCCCTATCTCAAGGGCACAGTTTACTTGAATATTTATCCAGTAACAGAAGCTTATCAAAACAGAGCCGGGAGGAGAGAGACTGGTGGAGAGAGAAGGTGGGAATTGTTTTAGAATGACAAACACTCCCCCCCACCCCCGATAAAATTGGGGGAAGGCGGAGGGAACTGTATACACCACTGTGGCACAAGTGAATATATATTTAACCCCCTTCTCCCCAGTGGGAAATCCCGAGAAAAGACCAGACTGAAACTGCTGCCAGTCTGAGCAGACAGTACTGTCTGTGATGGATGCATGGTGTGATTCAGTATATAAGGCAGCTTCGTATGTTCATGTGAGAAACCAGCTGTGGTATGCAGTCAACAGGGGGAACCTTCAGATGACGAGTTATGCCAGGAGCCAGATGGGAAGTTAGTAAGGATTGCATAAGGCCCCTGTGACACCAGTTGCTCATCCTTAACTTTATGGTGTTTTAGTGGATGAAATTATCATGGTATCAACAAATTATCATGGTGTCAATTTCTTGAAGAGAAATTGTGTTGAAACACAGCCTTGGGGCACTTTCAAGGCTAATATTTAGGCTGCATCTACGTGTCATTGCATATTGTGCTGTTGCTGTGATTTGTAGATGGATTGTCTTGTCCACGCTGGGAAAAACCAGTTGTGAATGATTGCTGTGGTAATAGTGCAGTATCCAACAGTGGATGGAGACAGCTTTATTGTCCAGAATAATTTCTGCTACAATAACCCTGTTTCCTTTAAGGTGCCGGTAGATTTTGTGCCTTTTTTTTAATGTGAATGAATATGTCTGAAGTACTTAGGATGAACCCTGTGTTATAAATTCTCTGTTTCTACATGCATGATGATGTAGTGTGATACAATATTAGTGCTTAATAACATGGTTTCTTCAAATGAGGGAAGCCAGATCCAGCCACATAGAACTTTGCCCATCCAAATTTGCATCTATAACGCTAACCCTATGTGCAGTCTCCCATAAGTGTTGCTGTTTCTGGGATTCATATTGAAAGTCTGGATTTGTGTACTTGAATTTCAGGACTGAATAGCTTGATGGGATCCTCCAGGATCACATAACTTGCAATGTCTGCAGTCATCACAGTGACTTTGGAAGTGGTGGTTTTTTTTAAAAAAACATTACTACCAATTTCCAATTTTGCAAATGGCTAATTTTTTCCATCTCCTTGTGGATTGGCTTTCTCTAGGTCTGCTTCAACTACACCCTCTGGTTCCCCCAGAACCTCTCAACAAAATGTCTACAACCCTCCAGATGTCTCCACCTGGAATCCTTTTGATGATGACAACTTCTCCAAGCTCACAGCAGAGGAGCTATTGAACAAGGATTTTGCAAAACTAAGCGATGGTTAGTTTGGGGAGTGAGTAACTATGGGGGTTTTTTTGAGCGGGAAATGCTAGCCAGAAAACTCTTCCAAGCTGTTCTGTGGAATGAATGAGCACGTAGAATTGTTAAAATGTTGTCTGTTATCCATAATGGCCAAGGCATAACTCTGAAAAAGCATAGAGCTCACTGTGACATTGGACAAAAGGTCTCCGTAGCTCAGCATTCTCTCCCCAGAGCCAAAAGGAAGGCCCAGAGAACTTCCTGTGGAGCAAAATGTGGCTCTGTTGATCCTGTGTGATAGTCCCTTATATCTGATAAACTAGAGTGTTATGCATCAGGGCTGCTTTTGGCAGTGCAGCAAAAATATGTTTGCTAGTTGTGCTGTTGTTTTTTTCCTCATCTGGAAGACTTCAAAAGCTCTGTAAGCCAGGACCCGGGCCCACCCAGGTCCTGTTTGTGGATCTGCGGGGAAGGGTGAGAGCAGGGAGCAGCCATGGATCCCCCTCCCCTCCAGGCGGAGGGGTGCCTGATGTCTACTTAAGGCACCACGCTGCCTCAGCTCGCCATCTTTAGCTGATGGACAGCTTGGTCCACCCTCCCACCCCTTTAGTTAGGTATTTTGCAGGGGTTGCATGCGGTTCTGTATACTTGCTTTCTTGTCGCATCTTGGCGGTGTCAGTATGGAGCTGGATCCACTCTCAGGAAAAACAGCCTGTGTGCTCATTTCCTGAGTGTGGGGATCCATTTAAGGGGTCTTAGTGTGAGGGGCGACTGATATGCCCAGCCCGGGGGCATGTCCGGAGAATTACCCTCATGCTTAGGTGGCAGGGGAGACCACCTCCGGGCTTCCGCCCTAGTGGGATCCAAAACCTGCCATCCCAAGCTGACCAACAGAGCATTGACTGATGGGTAGATCAGTCAGTGATCAGGATCCTTACCCCATGCTGTGCCAAGGCTCACTACAGCTGTAAGCAATAAAGTTGTGGCCAATTTTATTCCACTCTTTCTGAAAAATGTGTACGTGTGTGTTATTTCAACTGGGAAAAACTTTAAATTAGACTAGAATTTGTGGGGTTTAGCAGAACGTTCGACCTGGGTGCTCACCTCGGCCCTTCACCTTGGCACTGGATCCGTTAACAAGTTGCAGTGAATGTACATTAATTCTGTGTACAGTGTTCACTTGATTTTCTGTATATATGCATTTAGTAATGATCACATTATGTTCAATACACGTACTGCAGAATGTGTGAATGAAACGGCGTATTTATCCAGGTACTGGTCCATTGTTTTATTTGTAAAGTGAACACATTGGCTCTTTCTCACGAACAGTTGTACACAAGTACATGTGTTCACTGTAGCATGTAAAACGGGGCTACCATGTGGACTTCTGGTACATCGCTGCTTAAGTATGGGATGGTAACTGCTGATAGTGCCTAGCAACACGTGTTTTCTGATTGAGTATTCCCCCAAATGGGCGTGCCCCCCCACGGCCAGATGTGTGCCTGTGTTGAGAGCAGACATCTTGCAGATGTCCTTATGCTAAGCTCATAGCTGGTATTTGATGCTTCATTTCCAAAGTGGAAGTACCATGACAGACAAGTGTTGTGGTCTCCAGAAACACCTGAATACCTGTACTTCCAGCTGTCACAGTAAGAATCACTAACAGATATGTATTCCTTGTATTTCTCTACACTTCTTTACAAATGCACCAATATGAATTTCTTTTCAGATTTGTATCCACCTTTTGGCCCTCTAGAGGCTTTAAACTGAGCCACTTGTATGTAATTTCAAATGCCTTAACCCTTGCCCCCCTCCATTGAGAATCTAAAGTAATTCCATTATAATACCAGTGGAAAAAGCAATATGTAGATTCTGTTTGTTTGACCTTAAAGAACTTGTTGCTGGAAAACAGAGTTTATAATTAAGTACAGATAGTAGGACTGTGCAAAGTCAGTTGGGTATTTATTTTTATTTTTTTATGTGTGTGTACTCTTGTGTATCTGTCATGTGACATTGAGATCCAATTTAAAACTAGGTCCTTGGAATTTCAGGTAAACTTCCAGAGAAGCTCTGCAGCTCCACAGAGAACCTGATACCGGGTTTTCAGCCAGCACCTTCTGCAACGCAAGCAGATGCATTTGGGTCATCTTCTCTTGCATCCGTACCAGGTACGTCTGGGAGATGGTTTATATGTGAGTTAATGGGGTTCAGTGCAAAATTGTCCAATGAAAACAAAACCTGGGCATTGTTTGTAATATTTATTCCAACTATACAGTTCTCCTAAAGCTTGGATGCCTTCTCAAACTGTCAAAGAAGCCAAGTATTCTCAGTGTTCCCAGAGAGACATCACCCTTTCTAACCTTAAGAGGCATGGCTGTGTTTTTATTGAGTGGGCCAAATCCTTCAGCTGCAGGAGATTCCTATTGTACATTGCGACCACCCCAGAAGAGGGATGGGCTTTAAGAACAGTGAACAAGCTTTTGCTTACACATTCCCTTCATCCAATATTAGGAAAAAAAATAAGTTGTGAGACTTCCTGGTTCTTCAAGGAGTCTTATGGGGTCAATGCTTAATTGAACTCTGCTGGTCCAAATGAACAGGCCAGTCTGTTTTCACAAGATAGCATTTTAGTTGCTCCAGACTTTCTGACATTTCTACCCTCAGAGAACACATTCTGTACTACTCTGTCACAGAATGCATGTGCGTTGCAGAGGGTCCTAGACAGTGTTCCCTCTAAGCTGAGTTAGTGTGAGCTACCTCACAGTTTTTTAGCCTCCAGCTCACACATTTTTGTCTTCGCTCAGGGCTCCAGAGCAAACTAATTTATGCAGTAGCCAAATCGCTGGCTCACAGCTTTAATGCCAGTAGCTCACAAAGTAGAATTTTTGCTCACAAGAGTCCACAGCTTAGAGGGAACATTGGTCCTAGGCAATGTTCCCTCTAAGCTGTGGAGTCCTGTGAGCAAAAATTCTACTTTGTGAGCGACTGGTGTTAAAGTTGTGAGCGAGCCATTTGGCTACTGCATAAATTAGTTTGCTCTGGAGCCCTCCTTCCTGAACTGAGACAAAAATGTGTGAGTCGGAGGCTAAAAAACTGTGAGCTAGCTCACACTAACTCAGCTTAGAGGGAACACTGGTCCTAGGACATGTTCTGGGATGCATGCATATAATTTTTCATAGGCCATTAGCTTGGCCTGTTGCAGCTCACCATTCCCCCTTGAGAACTTCAAGGCTGCTGCTTGTTGTACTTAGTATATGTCATGTCAGTAGTCCTTTTCAGCACAGGTTGTTTTGAAAGTTCACCCCATGACCCACAATGTCTGTTGCTTGCACCTTTTGAAATGGTCTAGAATGGTAATGGATGCCTTTTCCTTTCTTCAGACTTTTGAATCTGCACTCTTGGTTTTTAATTTGGCTCCAAGTAGCATTCCTTTGCTGATACATAGTCCAGTAGAAAGATCAGTTATGGTGCACAAGCTGATTGCTGCTACTGGTTGGAGATTGCTCTGTTATCTGCACTCAGTGATGTACCCAGCAGAGAGCCATTCCCCGCATGCTCCTCAATGTACTATCAGCCTTAGGCTGAGAGCAGTAGTGATAACAGCAAGGCCACTTAGCAGGTTTGTGGGAGAGGAGAGAGAGAGACACCCAGTTTGCTTCCTAATAGAGATCAGGCATATTGATCTGTATTTCAGAGCAGTTGTAGGGGATGATGTACCTGACATTAAGGGAGCAGAAGCTGCAGCCAAAAATCTTACTCTTTACGCTGTGCAACTTAGTGTATTCAATTTGATGAGACATTTAATAAGCAATGCAATCAGACTGGGATTACGGAAATTTGAAAGAAAGCAAAAGATATTAGACATGATATGTTGAACAATGCAAAAAATGAACAGCGTTTGAGTCCAGGGGCACTTTTAACACCAACAAAGGTTTATTCAAGGTATAAGCTTTCATGTGCACATGAAAGCGTATGCCTTGAATAAACCATTGTTGGTCTTAAAGGTGCCACTGGACTCGAACTTTGTTCTGCCGCTTTAGACCAACACGGCTACTCACCTGGATCAATATAGAAAATGGTATTACATAAGCAGAATACAGTGTGGTGGGAAGCAGGTAATATATACAGCAAACAAATAATGCATAGTATATACAGAGGTCTAGTCCAGTCATATTCTATTTGAGAATACCCTTCTTCTTTCATTAAAGATATTCATGTTGGCTGGTAGTTGCTAAAAGTTACTTTAAGGAACCAGTTTTTTGGGCTGAAAAGTGGAGCTAAAATATAATAAATAGTTTTGGGTGGGTGACAATGTTGGTCTGCAGTAGAATAGCAAGAATCAAGTCCCTAAGCACTTTAAAGGCCAACAAGGCACATGCTTTAACTCTCGGAAGCTTTATAGCCTAGAAATGGACTTGATTCTTTTTCTGAGATATAATGATACTCACTGTGTGTGCAGGACAGTCTTCTAGATATTATCATCAAAGTGTGGCTTTGTGCCACAGACTAAGCACCTTAAAAAGGTAAAGGTTCCCTTGCTCGAAAGCCGGTTGAATCCAACTCTAGGGTTGCGGTGCTCATCTCCGTTTAAAAGCCGAAGAGCCAGCGCTGTCCAAAGACATTTCCGTGGTCATGTGGCCGGCATGACTAAGCACCAAGGCGCACCTTACCCACATTTTAAAAAAGCATAGCTGTAGATACATTAACCTCTTTTTCCTTAAGACAGACTTATGCAAAGAGTTGAGATTGGAGGGGGTGTAGTAGCTTTGATATCCTTGGATTTCTCTTCTCAGGGCTTGCAGCTACCTTGGAAGAATTCATAAAATTCTTTTTGGTGGCTCTTGAATTTTGTTTTGTTTTTGTCATTTTGTTGGGGACAAAATAACTTGCAGCATGGTTTGTGGGAGAGGAAGTGTAGCATACTGGTACGCCCAGACACGGAATGCACTTAAACTACTTTTTTAAAAGTGCGCTTGGTCTCTTGGGCTCTGCTTGACTTTCTCTTTCTCTCGCTTTCCCTGTCCTTCCTTCCTTTCCTTCCATTCTTTCTAATATGTCCGTTGCTGCTTCTCCAGCTGAAAAAACAAAAGATATTCTGGACTCTAGCCCACCACTTCTGGCTGTTCCTGATCCTTTTATTCCTCTTCCACTATCAGATACACCAGGTAACTCTGATAAAACTGCAAAGGAAGGTGGCCAGGGATCAAAATATTTGCTTCTCAGATCGTGCCTTTTCACATGACCACATGGGTTACTTATCATACCTCTGCCTGCTGACTCCTTGTCCCCCTCCATAAGTCTTTTGACATAGGAATTAAAATTATATATGGTTTCATAATCTGGACACAGGTTGGTATTGGACCAAGTTTCTTTAGTGTGTACAACTAATGTAAATTCACAGTTATTGGATTCTGAAAATCCTGCCCTTCTCGCAAGGAATTCAAGGCAATGTTCAAGAACCTCCTTTCACATTCGATACTCACAACAGTCCTGTATAGTAGATTAGGCTGAGAGACACTGCCTGGTTCAAGGTCACCCAGTGAACATCAGGGATGATGAGGTAGGGATTTATACCTGGGTGTCCCTAGCCTTAGTCTCTGTATCTGAGGAAGTGCGCATGCACACGAAAACAGCATGAATAAAACTTTGTTGGTCTTAAAGGTGCCACTGGACTCAAACACACAGCTACCCTACCTGAATCTATAACCACTGAACAACAGTGTGGCATCTGTTAGAATACTGAAATCTGGACTTTTCAAGTTCCAGGCAGTTATCCTGTTGTGTTTTAGGGGTGGGTGGGAGGCCAGGTCCCTTTAATACTCTTCCCAGTTTGTCCCATGGAGTGAGCAGACCATGACTCAGTGCTAATGCATGCAGAAAGTCCCAGATTCAATTCCTGCTATCTCCAATGAAAAGGATCCAGTTATATATGAAAAATCTCTGCCTGGGACCTTGGAGAGCTGCTGCTAGTCTTGAGTAGACAGTATTTACCTTGTTGGACCAATGACCTAATTCACTACAAGGCAACTTTGTGTGTTTATTTGGGTGTGAATGGGTTGCTTGTTTTTATGCTCCAGAGGTTAGCTTCTCTTAGTTGGTCTGTACTGCTGTTAGACCAAACATGGGTCAAGATCAGGTGCTTTGTTTATTTATTTTTTGAACCAGGGGAATATCACTGAGAGGGAAGCAGAGTGGGAGGTGGAGGGCTGTCAGATCTCAAAGGTAAGAGACTTCGGGGGACAGTGGAGGGTGAAAGATCTCGAGGGGGCAAAATTCGCAGGGAGGCAGGAACACTGCCCAATTTTTGGAATAGTTGACTCTTCCAGTTAGGTCCTCTAACTTCCTTCCCTAAAAACATGTGAACAAGCTGCATGAAGTTGAAGGGTCCTCCCTTCTCAAACTGACTCAGTTGTGCCACCACGACCTTATGTGTTAAGGAGCGTAGGAGCAGCTGATAATGCCTTCTCCTGCTCCCTTGTTTGCTTACCCTCAGACCGTACACCCAAGCAAGTTTCTCCAGCTCTTTTCTCAGGGTTTTCTCAGTCTCCTTTGATAACTGCTTCTGGCAGGGCTGTTTGCATGCAGTAGTAACATGGGGACTGCAGAAGTGCTGCAGGACTTGTTTGTACACTGCTTTGATCACTTTTAGGGGCTCTATAAATGTAATGCAATGCTTATGCTTGATGGTGCCGAATTCAGTTTCCTGGAAAAAAATTGTCTTATATTTTTTTAAAAAGCAAGTTTCTGTGCTCAAGCACATGTGGGCAGTGGGTTGCTAAAATCTCAGAAGCAGGTGGGGGTGGTGGTTTAGGGGGATGAACTTTAAGTACCCTGCAGTGCTGATTGCCCCTTGTCATGACTAAGGAAAACAAAATCAATTATGCAAAATAATTTTAAAAAATGGCAGAATAAATTATGCATTGCGGGAGAAATTATGCATGATTTGCGTTGGCTGTAGAATCCAGGTTTCAAGATGTAGAAAGTAGCTTGCTAAGGTGTAGAATTTTAATGTTAACCTTTTAGTGTGCAATCCTATGTATTTTGAAGCACTTGTATGACAGTAGTTGTTTAGCAGTGTGTGGTCTTAAACCACTATTCTGTTCTAGACGACTTGGCAATATTGAGGGCCTGAGGTTCACCTTTTAATGCATCCATGAGGCTACCTTATATGAGAACCACCTTTTTGTCCTAGAATAGCTGCTAGGGAAGATCCTGGATGCCCACTTCTTGGCCTTTAAGTCTTATGAGTCTCCCTGCGCTAGCTGCACTCTTTGATCAGATGCTTAATAGACGGCTTTCCTTCTTCAGCTGATGCCCGAAAAAAAGGACTCTGCTGCTGTATACTTTATTGAAAGAGCTGCCTTTTTCTTTCCTTTACGTGTCTCATGAGTGAGTAACGTGCTCGAAAGCGTGTGTTCATTGCTTGTTCGAGTCTCGACTCTTGATTATTCCAAATGATTGTTTGAAGTGCTCTTTGGCACTTTTTATTCTCTCTTTCTGCCTAATTAAGGATCCCTGCTGTAACATTTAGCTGTTTGCTTATTTGGAATTTTTAGCCAGGGCATACTGACAGCATGGGGTGGAATGGAAAACAAAACTTGTGTGCATGCATGTGAGCGTAATAAAATTATGAATTTCAGTCTTGAAGATTATTTGTGGAAGCTTAACCTTTCCCCCTGGAAGCTTGTCTGAAGACTGATTTGTTCTTTGCCCTCCTTCCTTTGTATCTCCTTCCCTTGTATCTGGCAATGCTGTAGAAGGGAGCAGACCTGGGCCTACCAGCAGTCCCTCCAGGGGCTGCAAAACCTCATGTTGACTTGTGCTATGATCCCAGAGGAACTCTGGGGAGCATCAGCACACACACACCCGTGCACAGATACACACACACACACTTTGGTTAAAGCTGTAGCACATTACGTAATCTGACAGTAACTGCTTTTCTGTAGAAGGCAAGGATAGTTGCCGCCAGGTAAAGTGAAGCAAAATTATTTCTTTTTAATTTTCTACTCACATTTCTGATGCAGAAGTGCCCTGAGGTGACCTGTGTAACCAAGAGCAAGCTTATTTAAGAACTCCCAGGCAAAAAGTCAAACCATAAATAGAAGTTGTTAGGCCAGTAACAGAACATTTAAGTGTGAAGCTCTCACTTTACACAGGGAGGGATGGTGGCGCAGTGGTAGAGCATCTTCATGCCGTGCAGAAGGTCCCTGGTTCAGTCCCCAGCATCTCCAGTTGAATGGATGAGGTAGTAGGTGATGTGAAAGGCCTTTGCCTGAGATCCTGGAGAGCTGCTGCCAGTCTGAGTAGACAATGCTGACTTTGATGGACCAGTGATCTGTTTCAGTAGAATGCGGCTTCATGTGTTCAGTCCGCAGATAAAAATGTAGTGTAGTTGTCAACAGAGTTATTCCT